AGAAAGAAAGAAAGAAAGAAAGAAAGAAAGAAAGAAAGAAAGAAAGACTGATCTCATTTTAATGTCAACTAAAAAGATACTTCTTTGGTCTTTTTAGCTGCCAGAGAAAGGGACTGGGGGGAAACAAGGCATTCTTGAAATGCCTAGATATCAACTCAACAGCCCAAAGTTGTCGGAGCATAAGAAGGTTATTGGAGAACATGATAGATGACTTTTGGAGACTGATGTGTCCTATCAGAGAAGTCACATCCAGGGGGTAGGGGAAAGACCAGGGTCAAGGGGGAAATGTATGATGTGATATAGTACCGGCTGTACCCAGCAACGCACCAACATGGCAAGTTCCAATAAACCAATTTATTTTTTCTGAGATATAGCTAGAGACTTTTGCTTTGAATGAGGGGGATTTGTTGACATTTACCTTGTTTCCTTAGGAATTCTTTTCTCTGCAATTGGGCCTCAGCCAAAATAGCCTTAAAAGCTAAAAAAAAGGACAGAAGAGGTGGAATAAATGTATCCATCAGATATTCCAAAAGACAGAAAACTTATCATATACAGACCAGGTCAAAAAATTTAGGCGACTTACCATCACCAATCAGAACCAAAGAGGATTGGCCCTTGGCTTTCCCATCTTGAAGCTGAACCGTGTAGGTACCTTCATTTTCAAGAGTAAAGTGGTCCATAACCATCTCAATAGTGCCCGTTGTATGATCGCACTTAATCTTATGTGTCTGGAAATTAGAGAGATCAAAGGTCATCTCAGGTATAGGATGGCTACAGCCTAGAATTGTCTCAGAATGAAACAGGCTGGCAGAGTGACTGAAATCTTGGAGACAAAATTAAGTCAGTGGGAATTATAACTATATTACCTTAATCTCTATTAAGGAGTAGACAGAGTTTAAGAGGCTGCGTTTATTTATTTATTTATTTCATTCGTCAAACAAAAATTACAAATTTGAACAAGGAAAATGAGAACATTGAAAGGCAACAGGGACAATAGGCACATTAGTGCACTGATGCACATCCCCTTAGGACCTCTTAAATATGAAGAGAGGTCCACAGAAGTTAAAAATGGTTGCATCCTATGGATCAATCTATGGATCTGTCCACACTATTTGCCACTTCTATAAAAACAGGGATTGTCCACCCCCACCCCCATTCTCTCTCTCTCTCTCTCTCAAAAAAAAAAACCAACAGATTTACTTATCAGGTTTTCCCCTTCACCATCTCTACCCACTCCTTTCTTAGACAGTATGAGAATGGCTATTGCAATTTTACAGTGCCCCAGGCTCCATTTTAGATACTTGCACAGCAGGGAACTGATTTATGCATATGCTGTATGGCTTTTGTTTAATCTTATGTATGTGAAAAACAATCATAGCTATGTTAGTCCACAGGGGATGAAATCCATGACTAGATTAAGGCCACATAAAATTGTTCCCAGGAAGGGCATAAAAAAAAAATCTGTCAGGAATCCTGCTGGGAACAAATGTCAATTTCTTTCCTCTAGTGAATTGCTAATAGGATGAATACTACCCTAATCAAAAGTGAATATTCAGATGAGTCTGTAGGATGGAAGCAGCATATAGTGCTTGGGCCAAATCTGCTTTCAATAAAGAGTAAAAGCAGAGAATCCTACCAAACTCCCAGAAAAGCTATTCTGTCCATAAATTGATATAGAAAAGAGAAATATTAACCAGGAATGTTTATTGGGAAAAGACACAAAGTCAAAATGGTGGATGCAACCAAGTAACGAAAGATCCAGTCCCCTTTTAACAGACCCTGAAATATTCTTTAATGAAAATAAGGACTAGGGGTGACATAATAGCAGTGTTCTGATATCTCAGGGGTTGCCACAAAGAAGAGAGAGTTAAGCTATTCTCCAAAGCACCTGAGGGCATGACAAGAAGCAATGGGTGGAAACTAATCAAGGAGAGAAGCAACCTAGAACTTTCCTGACAGTTAGGACAATTAACCAGTGGCTGGGTGGGGCTACATTGCTGGGTCACACTCACAGTTATGGAAACTTTGACCTAGGACAGGGGCCTCCAGATTTGGCAACTTTAAGACTTGCTGGGGAATTCTGGGAGTTATGTTGCCAAGTTTGGACACCCCTGCTCTATGGGAGCCTCTAACCTTAACTGTAATCTTTCTGCACTGGGATTAGGAAAGTTTGGGCCACTAGTTATGGTTGAGTTATAATTCCCAATAGGCCTTGCTGGATGTGCCAATGAAATAGAATGCTGGGAGGTGTAGTTCAACAAATTATGGTTCTCCATCTTAGCCAAAAAGAAACAGACAATTTATTGTTCAGGTAATGTTTGCATATAGTACTTCTATTTTATAGCCACAGTTCAAGAGATGGAAACTACTAACTAGAGATATTAATAACATTCATCTTCTTTTAATGATACTATATATATATATATATCAAAGGAAAAGCAAAATAAATGTGTTTCACTTAGAATCTTGTTGAAAAGTATTGATTTGGTCCAATGGCAAAAAGAAAACTGTATTCTTAATCTAAAATAATCAGGAACTATCTGCAGGATACAGTATCCACAGCTTACTACTGTTCATTTAACAGTGGTTCAAAGTTACAATAGCCTTGGAAAAAGTGAGTTATGTCCTATACTTGCTCTAACAATTGTCATAGCACCCCTATGGTCATGTGACTGCAATTCGGGCATTGGCAACCAGTTGGCATTTACTATCAGTTGCAACCTCCTGCAATCACATAATCATAGGTTGTAACCAATACGAAGCTGGATTCGCTTAACAGCCATGTGATTTGCTTAACAAGTGATTTGCTTAATGACTGCTGCAAAAATTGTCATAAAATTGGGTCCAGCATAATTTATGAACCCAGTGGCTTATTATGGAAAGTCTGCATGTAAGATGGAGACTACCTGTAAGGTGACCAATAGTCCTCTTTTAGGGAGGACAGTCCTTCTTTTGTAAGTTCTGTCCTCTCTCGAAAAGTATCCTCCTACATGTCCTCCTTTTTGATATTTGAAGGCTAATCTGTAAATCTCCCTATTTGATATTTCTGATCCGTTATGAGTGATGTGATGTATTTGTATTTGACATGACGATTCGTCAAGGCTCGGTACAGTGCGGCAAGATGCGATTATGAGACGCATGTGCTCCACACAGGAGAATTTTTTTTGAGAGAGTGCGCCGCGCGCAAGTGGCTTTGTTTTTTTTCTTCAATTTATTTGTGTCCTCCTCATTGTAAAAAAGTTGGTCACCTTACTACCTGCAAAGAATCAAGTTCCTGACCATGGCCATTGTATAGTAAGATGAAATTAAATGGTTTTACAGCAGCCATAAATACATATGTGAATTTTCTACAAAAAAATATGATTAATCTCCAAATGCAAATGTCTCCGTATGGTGTGCTAATTGGAGAGGTTAAAATAATATACGGTACTTTGAAAATAAAAGCAGTGGCTCCAATGCCAAAGCTTTTGTAGCATTGCAAAAAAATACAGAGGTTAGAAAAGAAGGGAGAAATTAAAGAGTTTATTCGCACTGGAAATGCAAGCAACAAAAATCAACCATTACTGTCAGTCAGGATTAGGACTCCACTAAGGGTATGAAAAATAAGCAAGTTACAATTTTCTAATGCAGAATGTTTCTTGTTTAGACCTGTCTCCATATAATAGAACAGTGAAATGAAATGAAAGGATGTTTCATGAGACCTAAAAAGCTTTTCATATAACTAGCATTATAAAACCTCTTCTGTGAAGAAAGGGAGGAAAATGTATGTGCATTTTAAAATGTCTTGGTGCTACTAAGACCACTACTATTTGTACATTTAATTCCAGGAGTTGAAATGGAAGGGAAGGGAAATTTTTCGTTAAATTGTGGTAGGAAGAGGAGTTTTTTTAATGCTGCCATTTAAAACATTTTAATGTGTAATTGTCTTTTTAAAAAATATGTGGAGGTTGTTCAGTTATAATGTCACAATATATATACACACAATAAAATATTGCATTCTTTCATGTCTGAATAGAACAACTACTCCCAAGTTTGCTTTATATCATCCAAATGATATAAATATACTTACATCACTATTGGAAATTTCACTATCATTGATTATAAATCGATAGGTGGCCTCAGGTGAAAGGCTCTCAGTCTGAATCCAGAAACGCACTTCTCCTTTGTCTAAAATCTCATAGGCTAATTCAGACTTCAAAGGAATAGCTGGAAGAAAACAGCATATATAAAGCAACTCTGTGAAGACCTATCCAAGTGCCAGTAGAATGGTGCTTCTAAAAATCTTAATCAATGCACAATAAAAATACAATGAAAACTTTAGAACTTTTCTAATATATTTTCACAGGTGTGCTGAGTCTTTTGTGCTCTCTGAGTGTGGTGGTTTTCTTGCAGACATTTCATTACCCAACTAGGTAACATCATCATTGATGATGTTCATCCTCATCTCTACACTCATGATGTTATCTAGTTACATATGCAAGAAAATAACCAAGTTCAAAGAGCACCAAGGACTCCACAGTTCAACCCTGAGCTATAACTATTCTCTTCTACCTGTATCACAGGTATGTATTAAAGAAATTTCTGCATGATTAAGAACACAAACTTCAGCTGCATTTATTGCACCATTTACACCTCTTAAATACATAATCCGGCAAATATTAGATATATTCCATCTGACTCCATTCATCCAAATTCATTTGCAATAGTGAAGAAGATCTCCCTTAAACAGAAGCTAATATTTGCATTTAATTAATAGAAGGATAAGCAAGCTGTTCTACCAAAAAGGTTTTATTGCTTTACTTCAATCACCGTGTACAAATGCATTACTTCAGGGACTACACATTAGATTCAGGCCTCCTACTTACTCGGATTCTTGATTTCGCGGCTTAGCATCATCAAACGTCCAAGCTCTGAAATGAAGAGCAAATTTTAATCTGTTGTTTTAATATATGTTGTTCATCAAACTAAACATTAGTAAAAAAAAAATGTATGAGCCCACACAATACCAAGAAACTTTAGCTGAATAAAGGAACATGTCTGAAAATTCAAGTCTTGAAAAACAGAAGATAAGAAGAGGCAAAGTTTGGATTCTGATATCATGACAAACCACCCTATGGTGGGATCAAACCTTGATCATAAACTATTTTGTGATAGAATCAAGCTTAGCTGCAAACCTTGTATATAACCATCCCATGCCTTCCCTTTGGATAAAACCTGAAGAAATACTATCTTTACGGATTCATTTTAGTTGTATCATCCAACCACCAAATGCTTAATTTTAATCATGGTCTAACAGAAACAAACTACCCTTCAACCTCTGCTTTCAAAACTGGATTATTAAAGCAACTATAATTGATGCTGGCTATAGCTCAAATAATGAAGCAATAATTTATTGAACTTCTTACTGCTCCACTAAAAAGCAAGGAAAATACAATAGTCCAGGAAATGAAGACTCATTCTCATACTAAATCATAGTTTATCATAATAGTCAAAGGCAACATAAGAGTTTAAAAATAATGATTTTAATTATAAAGAAATGCACTAAACTGAAAATGTGAGGTAAAATATCCACAGGTTCAGTAATGTTATCTGCCAACATAATTCCATAGAGTATCATTTTTTAAAAGGGGGTCTCATTTCATCAAACGCATGAAATCTGGTGGAGAGAATTTTTTTTTTTTTTTTTTAGTATATGTAGTAACTGTCAGTAAGCTCTCACAAAAATTGTGCAAAGCACTGGAGACCAGGATTAACTTGACTTAACATATTAAAATTGCTAATAAAGTCTTGGGAAATGGAAGTAATTGCAGGGTCTGCCAATTTTCAAATAACAAAGAAATGACAAAATTAACTAGTGAAACATTGAAGAAATGCGCAAATGTTTTGCTCTCATTTCTATCTTTATTAAAAGCAAGCCAGCCCATTTAAAAGTTTTACTCATCTATAGAAACAGAGAGATATTACTCCCTATGAGATACAAAAGTTAGTAAAGGTTGGCTTTGAATACAGTAATGTCTTGAAGGAATAATCCTTTAAAACTTTGTGGTTATAACAAGGAAACCCTATGGAAGACTTTGATTGTAAAATATTAATGCATATTTACAAAGCAAAAATGCCAATTCCAACAGGCTATTTATTTTATAAATAGTTTTGTTTCCTTCTAAAGAAGTATCAAATCCTTTCAGGCAAAGAAACAAGAAAATGTGGATGACAGCTTTAGTCAAATGTGCAGTTCAAGAAGAAAATACAAAATTTTGTTTTTACCTTCTTCATCCATAATGAAACTAGATGAGATCCCATCAGTATCACTAACAGCAACCGAGTAAGTTCCCAAATCATCTTTGTCAGGATTTTTAAAATAGAGTTTAGAGCTGAAATATATGTTTTTAATTTAAAAAAATAAAGTTAAATTAGTATTTTGCTAAAAGGAATCATACTTTTAAAAACAGTCATAAAGGACCTGATGAACTTACTGATCTCCAAGGGTTTCAATATTAAATTTATTGGGATCATCTATCTCTTCATAGAATTTACTCCAGGTAAAATGAGAGGCATCTGTAATTTCTTTGCAGTCAAACTCAAGATAAATATTGCCTTCTTCATCCACACCAGCACTGATCTCCTTTGTATCTACAAGATAGAATAGAATAGAATAGAACAGAATTCTTTATTGGCTAAGTGTGATTGGACACACAAGGAATTGTAGTTAAAAATATAGGCATTGTTCATTCTTCCCAAATCTGGATCCATTAAGGTCATATTGCCTTTAATTAGTCCAAATTTTCTCTTAATTGTTCCACAATCCTGCTGCAACCTGAAAGAATTCATAGACATTACAAATCAAAAAGAAAGGCAGCTTAATTTTAGAATTCTTTACAGAAAAATTAAAAAACAGAGCGTGGCACAGTAGTTAGAGTGCAGTATTGCGGGCTACTTCTGCTGACTGCTGGCTGCCAGAAATTTGGCAGATCGAATCTCACCAGGCTCAAGGTTGACTCAGCCTTCCTTCCTTCCGAGGTGGGAAAAATGAGAACCCAGATTGTTGGGAGCAATAGGCTGACTCTGTAAACTGCTTAGAGAGGGCTGTATAGCATTGTAAAGTGGTATATAAGTCCAAGTGCTATTGCTATATTAACAGAATCAAATGCCAGAGACAGGCAGAGTGCAAAGAATGGTGGCATTGCTTGATTTTGTATCTGTGCAATACTCCTAAGCTTGTTATCCCTGTAACAACCTCAGTGCCTGCCAAGGTTACCAGCATGCTTAACCATACCAAGTGACCTGTCATCTCATCTTCTGCATTGTTTGAAGAGATTATTGGTGCTACATAGTATAGATTTCTGCATCTTGCTATGGCTCCTCATCCTTCTGAAGGTATCATTCCCAGCAAATTCCCTGTCTTAATGTGCCCTGTGGCAAATTTGAAGGGGGAAATGGATGGTTTTGTTCTTTGAAATGAATCCACAAATCTCTTGATAAGCTGGAACAGAAGGAACTTGAGGTTAAAATAAAAGATGAATGGAAGCTTTTGAATACCATGTTTTAGATTCCTTGATCCTTGCATATTCAGCCATGTTTTAGGTAATAAATTTTGGGTAGCAGCTCTGTGTTTTCTGGAAAACTTCTCAACTTTGGGTACTCCATGGCAAGTGGTCATGTTTATGGTCTTTTCCATGGTGGGAATAGGTGTTTCTACTATATTTGGCTGTGGGAACATCTGGGCGAGAATGTGGTTCTGATCAATTTTGATATCAACCTACCAACATTTGCAAACATTAAATGGCTGGAAAAGAATGAAAGATTTTAAAAACTCAGCTTTAGGAGAAAACAAATCTGACAGAGTGAGCTCTACATTTTAGAATAAAAAATCTTATTTCTTACCAGGCTTAGCCTGTACAAGAACAGCTTCAGAAATATCAGATGCTTTCCCTATGCCAGCATCGTTCACTGGACGAACTCGAAATACGTAGCATTTGCCTTCATGTAGCTCTGTGACCTAAAAGGAGATACACAAGGAAGATGTAATAGGATACATATATGGCTGATGAAACTTAAGAGATGGTGGAAGAGTTTCCTCTGATACTATAATGGAATGTAGTGAGGAGGTAGATTCCCAGGAGGGCAGGGAGTAGGATGTCCAGGTGTTATGCATGAGAGAAAGAGGGTGAAGACAGCCTTTCCCTAATAATTCTCAGAGTACAATATATGGTAGATGCAGACAGATGATGTTCAGTTTGGCAAGATTCTGTCTATAAGTGTGGAACAGTAAAGGAATCTGCTTGGAACAATCACCACATGTCATATTTGGTTTGGGGCCTGACAGATTCCCTCCATCAAATGCATTTTTGCAAACTTGGAAATCCAAAATCTTCTCTAGCGGTTCCCTTATCTTACGCATGAAAAAGAAATTGTAACAAGAAAAAGCAAACAGAACACTGATTAACAAAGGGCTAGGAAAGCCACAGTAATGAAGGAGAAATAATGAATAGCTGGCAGTTAAATGTATTGTTTAAAAGATAACAAATAAAAAAGTCAGTTGACATTGGCTTTCATGGGCTGTATCTGTTGGACAGTGCTGTATTTCAAAGGTTTAGTGACCATGGTCTGGACCACTGATTTCCTGATGTTTCACTAGGAACTGTGTCTGGCCACGTCCACAGCAAGATGGTCTGCTATACCAGCAGCCTCTAACCTTTCTGGTTTAGCAGACGGGTGGAGGTGGTGTTAGTGGCAGTGGCAGGGGGAAAGGGAATGGTTTCAGGAGCACAACTGTGTGCTGCTTTGCATGTGTACACACGTACACTTGCCCACCAGTTCCAAATTGAGTTGCAGCCTGGCACCGGGCCATGGACTGGGGATCAGGGACCTCTGTGCTACACAAATCAGAAACCTGCCTGGATAAGGATTCAATAAGGACACAGCTACTCAGATTAATCAATTAAAACCCAGCATGTACAAAGGAAAAAAATCAGGAATCAGCACTTCAAAAATGACCAATCAGGAGTCATCACAAACAAAGGACCAGTCAGGAACCAAGACTATCAAAGTGACCAATCAGGATCGGGCACAAAGAAAGAGATAGAGGTGAGCCTTTACCAATCTGTGCCAATTCGAAAATAGCTCAGCCAAAGATCAATCAAAGTTAGGACACCTGGTTATAAAGACAGGACCCAGGTCAGTCATTATTCAACAGCCTGGGATCATAGTAGACTATCTTGTTTCTGAAGATACTAAGCACAATTTTGGTGAAATGTTAGGAAATATGTTGTTTAGATCATAATCACTAAACCAGGGGTGGGATTCAAATTTTTAACAACCGGTTCTATGGGCATGGCTTAGGTGATGGCCATGGCTTGGTGGTCATGTGACTGGGTGAACATGGCTTGGTGGTCATGTTATTGGCTGGGTGTGGCCAACTCAATATCACTCACATTGAGACACACATCTCCTCGCCTGGCCTCTCATGACTGTGGGGATGCTGCAAAAGTCGCAAGTGTGAAAAATGGTCATAAGTCACTTTTTTCAGTGCCATTGTAACTTTAAATGGTCACTCCACACAAGCAAAGTACCAGCAAAGGAGGTGTAAAAGCTCCAGAGAAGTTCCTAGTCCTGCCAAGAATATAAAAATGGGTTAATGGGGAGGCAGTTTCTCTAAGCAACACCAGAATGTTTCCTTCCTGCCTTCCTTACAGGACTAGGCCAGTAATTTCTTCTAACAACCAGTTCTCTGAACTGCTTAAAATGTTAACAACCGGTTCTAGCGAATAGGTGCAAACTGGTAGAATCCCACCCCTGCACTAAACCCTGCAGCTCAAACCAGCCCAACCAAAACAAGTAAATTGTTGATGACATACTTATTTTAAAATATATTAAGCATATATGTTAAGACTAATGTAATTACAAAATTAAGCCAAAAAATACAGCCAACAGAACATTTTTGTACCTTTAAGTAATGGTGCGGTGTTGGTTTCTCATTGAATGTGGTCCAATGTTCCTCTTCTTCCTCTTTGTAGTCAACAAAATATCCAGTAACAGGGCTGTTCCCAATATAAATAGGAGCTTTCCAGAGTATTACAAGGGAGGTATTTCTAATCTCACAAAATGTAAGATCATAGGGAGGACCTACAATAAAGGATAAAACATCTTATGTAAAAGATTTTTTTTTTAAGCCACCTAGGACCAGAGGTCTGCTGGCTACCAAAGGAAATTGTCTGCAGGAAAATGGTGCCTCTGGGCATCTGAATGCCAACCTTTGGTTTAGCAATACAAGCCACAAAATGTGTCATACCTACCACCCTCCGTCACCTCCACAATATTGCTGATATGACAAAACTGATTTTTGCATAAAAGAATGGTGTTCTGAAAAACCCCAGTGTATTAAAAATTATTTAATCCTAACTTGAGACTTTTTTCACCAATCAGTAGATTCAAATTAAAGTATGCATAAGCTTGAAATCTGTTCATGTGGCTCTAATATTTTAGAGCTCATGGAGTACATAGGATATATGAACTCCTTTTTATTACAATTTCAGTTTGGGAGATCAAACACATATATTGACCTATTTTTAATCCAAACACAATTTCGGTATGCAAATGGGGAGTTCCTTAATGGATAATCTGGATCTAAATCTCCCATCAAATCGTAGAAGCAGTTCCTTACTTTGGACAAACGGCTAATGCTTAACCTCAGTTTAATATCAATCAAATAATTCATATTAATTAACTGTTATAATGCTCAGATCTAAGAAGAGAGTACTTTACACGTTAGGACACCATTTTTTAAAAAAAAACAGGCCTCTTTTCTCCAAAAAGAAGACATATGAATTATCTGGAGCGTTGAATGGTCTTTTAGATCTTATGTATACATTTTGCAGAAATGGTCTTTCATCACTCATCATTATTTCCTTGACTACATAATCTTGTTTGTTTTACATCACAATTTGACCCTATCCTGGGTTAATAATGTAGACATCTAAAGATGGTCTTGTTGTAAGCTACAAAAGGAATGATAAAGCTATTCCAGCATTTTTCAAATCATTTCCATGCAGAGGT